TAGCTCTTACCTCACAAAAGCAGACTAAAATTGGAACTATGTGAAGATCTTTAGGCAAACTCAGAGGGGTCCAAGGTCTTTATCTAATTTGTAGAGGCATTTAGATTAAGATGGACAAATATTGTTCAGGATTAACTTGACATTAAAGATGAAGGAATGAATTTAGCCAGATTGGTGATAGAAACATAAACAAAAAGAGAGGAAAATCTCCACAAGGACTTCCAAAGAGAAGATGAGGATGCCGTGAGGCACACTTGCTCAAAAATACATACAGAAGGAGAGAAGTCTGCTTCTGTTGCTCTCCCTGCCTAATCTCAGAGTCATTTCCTGACAGTTGAAACAGAAGATGGCCACCTCATCAGAATCACACTAGGTTCCACAAAAGATAGAAAACTGCCACTTCTGTCTACGCATCAGAAAAATTCTCAATGCAGCTTTCAAACTACAGATAACAGCTTTATGACACTGCTCTATACATGAAAGCTGTCAATGGGATTTTTAAATTGACAAGTGGTTTGAGCTGTTGACTCAGTGTTAATACCAACAGAGGCAAATTGCTATTGGCTTGTATTTGGCACCTTATAATGCTTGATGAAGAGCTCCTTATATCTTGGGATTTCTTCTCCTTGAGAATGGTATAGTATCTTTATAGCATGAAGACAAGTAATATATACTTGTGATCATTCTGTCACTGCTTCATTACACTACTTGACAATGATTTGTGGTTACACTTCATACTTTAGCACTTTTCATGCAGCATAGAACTAAATCATAGTAGATTACCAAGTCAATATTTCTATTGGCAGAACCTGAAAAAACATTGATTTAAACCTTCTATTCATTTATTATGAATTCTTGATCCAATTCTTCTTAGTGGCAGAGATTTTGCAGGGAACACTGACGGTAACTATCAGAAAAGATTCTTGCTGCTTTCATTGGTTACAGGGGCAATGACAAAGAGAAGTCCCAACAGAAGGCAGACCTTACTATGGCTAAAGAGAGAAGGAAGGCATAGGGAAAGCATAAAATGGTAAAACTGCCTGTATTTCAATCTGTTTGCTGCCATTAAATATGCTTTGATTAACATTGTTGCAGAGGTTCAAAATGGGGCTGACTAGCAATAAATAAATGATAATTTAATGAGTAGCAGAATGTTCCACAAACTCTACAAAATAAGGCTGTAATTCCATTACGAGGACTCTTGTGTCATAAGCCATGGCAGCAAAGCTCAAGTGATTTGTCAATGTCCTCAGAACCCAGAGGTGGATTTGCAACTTTAATTTATGGGTTCCTCAGGGATTTATAACTGAAAAATCTGTGGCACCCCTGAAATTCACAGGAGGTGCTGAGACGCTTCAAAGTAAATCATTATTGCTGAAACTCCTAAAATGTAGCAGCGTTGTTGGAAAGCAATAAAGGTAGCACTCTGTTAGCATTGTTTAGAGAAGAACATTTAGCACAAAGCTACCTGCAGCAGTTTAAAAACTCAGTTTCTCATGCATGGACCACATCAGCCTGAATGGCAAGTGACTTGATGCCTACAGAGGCAAGGATCTCAGAGATATTCCTGATGCCAACTTAATAAAATCACATTTCAACTGAAGAATGTAGTTTGTTTTTTTTTGTTGCAATCAGTTGGAGTGAGATTGTTCTCCTTGGAGGCCAGCAGCTTCGAGTACTGAGCTGATAAATCAGCTCACAAGTGCCCAGAAACTTTGTCTTTTCCATGACTTAAGGTTAAATGACCGTCAATAGTTAGATAGGTTCTAGGGAAAAAAAAATATCAAAACACACCAGATTTCTTATTTCTCAGTGTCACACAGAGAACATACATGACTCGCCAAGTTGGCATAATTGTTCAGATGGAATTTCCTTACAGTCTGTGAGTTACACCCCTGGAAGAGCGGGCCTCAGTGGAAGACCTTCCAAAATATGATAAAGTCTAACTAACCTGACCTCTAAATGTAAAATAAATCCTGCTTGATGGCGTTAGTTCTCATTATATTCCACATTTCCCTCTCAGCCAAGACACTTCGCTCCAACAAAACCACCGTTCATTATGATAACATACCTGTCACGTGCCATGAGACTCTTGTTCTCTACTGCTTGAATAAAGAACTAAATATCTGGGAGAGTGTAACAACCAGTGCATTTTTTGAATTAAGAGATGAACTTTGAAACGCTTTTACTACAAGGATAACAAAATCAAAATATGATATGTACTGTTGCCTAGGTAGTAACAGTTTGATAAATACCTCAATCTAAGACAGAAACTAGGAAAACACTGAAGAGAATATAGCCTTCCCATTATAAAAGTTCCATCAGGACAATAAAATTGCATCTGGCTCGATGCTAGAATCAACAGAAGATACACGTTAGGTAGTATTGCCCACGTTATTGTGTAGGGTTTTCTTTAAAGAGACAGTAAAGGACTTTTCCTGTTGCAAGTACATACTTTGAAAACACGTGAAAAGTGTGATACAGAAAAAATACAGACATTCCCCCCAAATGAAACACAGACCAAATCAAAGCCTAGTCAGTTCAGTGTCCCATTTCCTACATATGGGAAGGAAAATGAAATGACTCCGTGAAGAAGGAGACCACAATATGTAAGAGTAGAGTCAGCTGTGTATCCAGACTGTTATGACTCCCAAATCTTCCATCTGGACTAAACTCAGGAAAATCTGTTCTCTGAGGAGAATAAATGACCAATTTTTTATTTATGTGGTGACAGAAGAGAACTCAGAACCTAATGGAAGAACTGTATTTAAAAGCTCACACTGGTTTCTGAGTCATAGCAGAATGAAATATGGTTTCAGAAGAACCTAAGCTCACACACCGATGCTCAGGTATATATCTAATTGCAATGAGGTTCCAGACAGTCTTGCAACTCCCATTCCAGAGAGGAAAGTAGCTGTGGTGTTCCATAACCTGGTGAGATGAGTGGGAGAATGGAATAATGCCATGCTACACTGCACTATATTGCATACAAAAAGCATCTGAGGCCTCAGTGTTATTGTAGGAGAACTAAGGAAAAGAGCATGTGCCCATAAATGATAATAGAGTACCTTTGTCGTAATTCCTCCCTACTGAAGGTAGGGAAGTATAGCAACTGAAGGTTGTTGCTATATCCAGACATGTTAACTCATTAGTCTTATGATGGCAAAGGGAAGTTGATGTTTTAGAAGTTACTCTTTTCCATTTCTTCACATTCAAATTTAGCATTATCCATATTGTGACCCTTCGAACTGCTGAAATCCACTGCTGGACACATAGTGAAAGGAATCTCACAACTGAGCCAAGCCCTGCCCGATAGGGTATGTCTGAACTCTTTATCCCGCTGATGGAAGGCAGTAGTTGGAATAGGTCTGGTTTGCCTTATATCATCCAGTTTATCCAGTATACTCTGAACAATTACTGAAGCCAGTGTTTATAGCCCTTTTACCAGCTGTAGAAGTACCAAGTAAAAGGATATAATTTAAAGAGAAATGGTTTTGAGAGACCAGGCATTTCTTAAAGCCTAATTAGTTGTAATTCTCTTCCTGCAGCTAAATCAGGAAAGAACAAAGGTAGGACTATTAAAAAAACATTATAGTCCTGATCTCCACACAATGCTTAAAATCTGAAGAACTGAGAATAAATACAGTCTGAGATAAATGTGGCAGATGTGAAAAGCTCTTCCTGCTGAGGCAAAGCTTGGCTGATGTTTACTGTATTGCTCACCTGGGCACTACCCAATATTATTTTATTTTCAGGAACTGAAAACAAAATGGGCCAGAACTTTTCTTTTTTCATGACAAGAACAGCAGCTGACCGGCACAGCTGATACACAGACACATATATATAAGATTTTGAAGATCTTATTTATGTTAATAGTCACTGTTACTCACTGGTTCAAATTTAGTCTTATTTTTTGTCAGTTAGGAGCAATAGAGAGTGATAAGTGTGCAATAAAAGATGCATGAATAACGTGACCTAATGTGCTTTCCTCTATTTCTGCCCTTTTTGATTCACAAAAGCACCAAGGCAAATGAGCAACAGCATTCCTATTTTCAGCCGGATTTAGGCGTACACTGAAAGTTTACCATAGTTAAGTGATATATTGAGTAGTGATGGAACTATTCACATGTTTAAATTCAGCTTATTTTGAACACTTTCTTGAAGTGGAACCCAATTCTGAAGCTTTAATTTGGGTAACAAACTGCTTCTACTTACAAGACTGAGCCCTGCATTTCTGTTCATAAAGAAAATGTAATGTTTCCAGTAAATTAGTGTCTAATGGAGCTCCTTAGAGACACTATGTCCTGGACATCAGAGCCTTCAGGATGCAATAGTGCATCACAGAACTACATGTATGAAGGGTACAACGAATGACAGAACTTTTGGATTAGATTGGTTTTTGGCTTATATTGAATCGTTTTTAAAAACAGGCATAGACATAACATCCTCTTTTTTCTTTAGAGCTTGTGCCAAAAAAAATAGTAAGTTTGCAAATGGATATTAAGCAATGCCAGATATTTTCTGGGTTTGTTTTAACAAATTAACCCTTTGTGTTCTTTTCTGATGTCCAAATAATTGTATTAGAAACAGATGTTCTACCAAAATTGACACGATCAGGAGATACTACACTCATTTATTAACATACTGTTTAATATTCACTACAACCTGTTTTAAAGAACAACAATGTGTTAACATTTAAGCCAGGAGGGATTTCTGTACACTGTATAGTCCTTGATGCAGTTTGCTTATGCAACAGTCTGACAGATACAATTAATCTCATAAAAACGACCAGAATATAGCATAACAGCATATTATGTTTAAAGTAATAGAACACATCTTCCCCTTAAAAATCAGAACTTAATTAAATCACTTAACTTGAGGTTGCAGAGAAAAGCTTTAAAAGAACAAAGTTCATTCTAAGGGATGGTTATGTGAAAAAAATGTGTATTTAGAGAAAGAAGAATAGAATAATCTCCAAATGGGAGTGAAGTGAGAAATACCTCCAACAAATGCATCTCCAGCCCCATTGGTATCCACGATTTCACTCTGATCACTCACCAACACAGGGAAAGTAGTTACTTCATTTTCTATGATGGAAAGAGAGAATAAAACATCTGTTACTTGCAAATATGACTTAGAAAAGCAAAACAGTGAAATTAAAACAATTCAAAACTGGTGTTCTTACCATTAGCACAATAATTTGGATAAAATCAGATATGGTTTATAATAATAATTTGCATTGCAGTACTAACAGCATAGGGGTATGGAAATAAATTTGATCAAGCTATTTCTTGTGGACAGTTTCATTAATTATTTTCAGCTCCATATCTTTTCTTTGTCTCCTAATAGTAGTGATATAAGAAAAGCCCCATCATGCCAGAACCAGTGCTTCCTACTAGCTGCAGAGAGGTGATGTGGCCTCCAGAATAGCCTGTCCAAGCCTCAAAAGCTCCACAGAAATGGCTGCATTGCAAAAACCAAAATACATGTAAAAATAAAGCAGTAAAATGTAGAGTTAGTGTATAGCTGGGTGCTCTCAAATGACATCTTCTTAGAAAACACATATATGTAAGAAGCCTTGCAACTGTCCATCTGACTGGATTTGGTTTCAAGAATTCAATTCTATTCTTTCTTACCATTTGTTTTTTAAATAGTATTTCCATCTCTGCAGCTCCCTGCCCTCTACTGGCACTCGCAAAACCTATTGCAATAGGTGGATACTCAGCATCCTCACCTCAATTCACTGCCACACCACAGTTCAACATAATTACACCACTTAGGTATGATAACTTTAGAGTTCGAGGGTTATAAATTTAATATACGCCACTAATTAATCAGCTATGGCTTTCCAGGTGGTAATGTCATAATGACGTGATAAAAATATAATTACCACCTTGTCACAATACCTTGTTAAAGTGTAAATTACCCCTGTAACAGAGCCAATGGAAGTTCTGCCTCTGGTAGTCAGTATGCATTAAACTGTCTCAGAGCAAACAGATTGTCCTTTGGAAGACAGCAGGAATTAAAGAAAGGGGAGGGGGAAGAAAAGCCTGTCAACCAGTGAAAATGAAAACCATCAGAGCTGTCCTCCTCTAATGTTTTGTAAAAAATACAGAAATAAAGCAGGAAATAGATCCTCCAGCAGCTAAAAGCTGGAGATAGGTAGCTTCCTCGCTGCCCAGAAACACAGCAGAGCATAAAAATCACTCTCACACCGATGCATACAGTAGCAAACAAGGAAACCTAGTTTGGGAAGCACATAAAGAATTCACAGTCTCAAATCAAGCAAGTCTGTGTGTGCTGCAGAGGTACCAGAAGGATCCCAGTTTCTGTGAAATGCAGTGTATCAGCTCTACTGCTCCTCACCATCTGCTACAAGCGAACCAGGCAGATATAATGATGCTGCCTCCAGAGGGAACTGTTGGCTGGCCCACCAGGAGGGGAGGGGAGAGAGCATTAGCAACAGCCATCCATGAGAGGCAAAGGAAAAAGGGTAATGGAAAACATAAACGAAATATTCCAATTAAAGAACACCCTACACTCTAGCCTGTTAAGAAATCTATTTAGAAACCTACTTTGATGCTGTATTGTACTCCTAAGATAGTCTTCAAGAGTAATGAATTTTAGTAATTTTAACAGGATTCATTTGAATTGGAAATCAAGAAAGTGAGGTCTTATAATAAACTCTGCCAGAGGAGCAGTATATTCATCCATTTCATAAGAAATATACAATACATGTGATCTGTTCTAGATAACGCTAAAACAATGAACAAAGTGATAAATCTGTGCAAGACACATTGTAATAAGGTGAACTGCTTGGGCACACACAGATGTTCTACATTAAATACACAGCAGACACTTGCATATGCATACAAATGTATGTGTTTGGGCACAGAGAGTGAATAATGCACAGGCATTGTATTTGGAATGCTGCAAATGGGGCTTGGCATCAAACAAGATTCTTTATTGAATCTAGCTTCCACAGATGAAAGTTTGCATCATCATTTTTCTCCTTTCTTTTCTTCTCTGTCTCAATTTCTTATCTCCACTCCTTCTAGCACATTCAGGTAAGTTCTTATTCTGCTGTAGACATAATTGCAAAGAGCTGAATTAGTCTGAAAACCCAAAACACATCAGTGACTTCTGTTGATGTGAAAGCCCATCATTTTTTTCTGACTTCTGTTTGCCATCTCCTTTTTCTGTAATGTTACACACTTTCAAGAGAGGCAATAAAGTCATATTTTGAAATACAGAATTTTCAGAAGCAGCTGACATGGCTTTGGAGAACACAGTACATTACAAAGATATCTACAAACACTGCATGCATCCAATAAAGTAAACTATCTTTCTTTAACCTTATGAGAACTTCTGCTAGCATAGTGTCTACTAAACTCAAAAATAGTTAACACAGTGAAAGATAGAACAAAATAATACTGAGGTTTCTTCTTTGCTTCACAAAGAACAAAGGTACTGCGAACTAAGGCTGCCATTACTTTACCTTACAATGCCTGTGTAACAGGACAAAGATACCTAACAGCTCTCACTGATCTGTGTCTTGCAACTGCTAGGCACAACAAGGTGAATGAAGATGAAGCACAGTTTGCCATTCTGAGTATCCTTGCTTTTGTGACTTTAACGTCGGTTTAAGTTCATTTTCATATGTGATCTATTATTTTGTACAACTCTCAAATCCATCATGGTAAAGAGACATAGACACCTTGGCTGAGTGCACTGGTCATCAGTGGCCTTGCATCTCTAAGTCAGTTCTGATTTCATTTATCATTCTGAGAGCTTACGAAATAAAGAGTAATTACATAAGTGTTTTGAAATCCAAGTGCTGCTCCTCTGGGCATAAAATCCAGTGTTCTATTTTTAAGCAGCAAATATCTTCTGTGGTAAACACACTCAGATACAACACATTCCAGTTTGGCATCATTTGCTGGAATTGAGAATCGAGAGTGCAAACTGAAAAAATAAAAAATAAAAAAATGCTGTGTACAACTAGGGAAGTTGTTGAATCTTAGATTCAGCTCCCTCAATGGTCACCATGAAGGAGCTCAACTGCCTTAGAATGATACCGAAAGAATCGAACATAAATGAACTGATGTCATGGGTTGAGGACTACCCACTGATAAGGAATCACCTTGTTGGTAAATGTTGTCATTGGAAATTTGTTGCATTATGTACCTAAAGATGTGAAATCTATTTTCCTCAGGCAAAAATATTCACTAGCATATCTAGCTTTATTTATTTTTGTAGGTATGAGTCTGGAGAGGTAACAATAGGGGAACAATATTAACTGAACATACACTGCTCCTCCCAGTCTAGCTGAACACAAACCTTGTTTGTGACGTTAACTGCAACAATCGAACTCTGATGATAGCTGCAAATATTCCAGGTCTGTTTTTAAAACAAATTAGAATCACAGACTACACATCTACTCTTAGTACAGTAATAAACACCAGCAAGCAATCATTACATCCAATTAGGCTGAGTACTTTCTTTAACTGGGTCATTTACCAGTCTCTCTTGCTCTTAAAAGTAGATTAAATGTGTAAACTTACATTTAATTACCTGTAACAGAACACTTATGGGCAACATGTTAGAGTGCCCTTAATTCTGTATGAAAATAAAATAAAAGGAAGAAGGGAGTCCTAAAATACGTACAAAAATGACTAGCTACTTCCTCAAATAAGCTTTTGATCCGTGGGCTGACAGTGGTAGTACAGATGCTTACAAGATGGAGACAAATTCATTTTTCTTTTGTATGCTTCAACTTGTAAAAAAAAAAAAAAAGAAAAAAAAAAGAACAACTGTGAAACAGAATGCTGTCCCATCTCCTTCCCACCCCCATCCTCTCTCATTTTCTTTAGATCAGGGGCCAAAAACAGATAAAAAGAAAGGGAGAGAAAAAAAAGGACAGGAAGAACTTAAGAGAACGTGGAAACCTAAGCTCAAAACCTATAAATGTCTCTGGACAGCTATAAGGTAAGAAGTAATGAGAAAAGTATTTGGAACAAACCCATGCCAGCCTGGCTGATTCTGAGCCGTTACCTCTCTGCAGAAGAAATCAGAAGGCTAACGGCTCTAAGCCTCTGAACCTTCTTCAGCACATTGATGAATCTTTTTAAATCAGCAGTATAATAACATTTTCTCCTGTATTACCTACAGGAGGAACTACTGCTGGTGCTGCGTTTCACAAAGAGATATCACACCTGAAATGTAAATCAAATAGGAGCTGTAATTTTCCCACCTCTATCAGCACAGCATTGTCCACAGCTACAAGGCAGCATGGGCTGGGGTGCTGGGCACTGAGTGCCCAGTTAGAAATCCTTATAACTTCCAATGCTGATGTATTTCAAATCTGGCAGTGTTGATTCAACCTGTCACTTCAAGGCAACAGACCGAGATCCTGCATTTTCAGGCTGGGCCCTTCAGATAGCTGTATGGTATGTGCACTACAGCCCCCCCGGCACTCTCTGTGTGCATGGTAAGTTTGCCTTGCTTTGCATGCCAGCAGCTCCCTCTTCTCCATCTATTTCTGTGCATTGTTCTGCCTCTGAAGAGCTTGTCAGAAAAATAAGGAATTTATTTGTGTAAGTCAGTGGAGTTAAATAGTATAACAAGCAAGACATAAGTCAGCCACATGCTTTCAGATTTTCTAATCAAATATTGAAATAATACACAACAAATGATGCTGTATTCTAACAAATTCAAGATGTAGTCAAGAAAGCTTTATTACAGCGAATAGTGAAGAAGTTAAACCTTTATAGGTATAATGAACAATGTTATTCAAAACAAGTCATAGAATAGTCATTGTCTATAATGCATTTATATGCCTATGGTATGATAAAATTAATACAAATATGAATTTATTTCCATAATATAACACCAAATAGAGCAATTAGGCTACAATTCTTGCAGTTCACCAAACAAAAGTAAGAATATATAGTTATGCTGGCCAGGATGCAAAGAACTGACCCTCACAGGCAGCTTACTTGCAGTAGAAACAGAGAAGGAATATGATGCCAAAGGTTTTGGAGGTTCTATGGCTCTACTTGTGATCATATAAGAGTATCTACAGGAA